CCGCATGATCTCTCTCTCTCCTTCGTCACCCTGTTTCACTAAGCACCGAGTCTCTCCCTCTCCTTCATCACTCCCTCTCTTTCATCATCTGCGTTTGACTCTCGCTCTCTTTCATCATCTGTGTCTAACTCTCTCTCCCCTTCAACATTTGTGTCTACTAACAAATCGTCTTCTTCGTCATGTGTGGAGCTTTTAGTTTTTTCTCTTTTCTTTTTGGGTTGTTCATCTTTTTCCCTCAAATTTATCTCAAATCTAGAAGTTTAATCCCCCTTTCTGACTCTCTATGGGATATGGAGAAAATGGGTCATTGGGTCCCTGATTCTCTCCCTAGCTTGGCCTAAAATCTACCTATCTTGCTAGTAGATCAAGAATCCTCGTCTCTCAAGCACTTACTTCATTACTTGAGCTAGATAGCATTTCATTAATCTCTTTCACCATCCTAATTTTAATTTTTTAAACAATGGTTTAAAGTTAAAGTTAATGTTAATTTTCTTTTTATTTCCAGTAACACATTGAAATATGTGAGTGTAATCTTCAAAGAAACTCAATGCATTTTAGTGGCAGATCTATGATGGAGTTTGATTTTATGAAATTGTTATAGATGGTTGTTAGGGGTGTACATTCAACCCGACAACTCGGACTAACCTAACCCAAACTATAAGAGTGGGCTCGTTGGATTAGCATTTCGAGTAGGGTTGGATTCATTTTTCTGAACCTGAACTGAATCGATTCGGTTTCGGATTCGTGGGACAAAACCTTCGAATTGACACAAGCTAAATAAAAATATGTAAAATATATTAAGAAATTTTATATATTAATGGGTTTGTTAAAGTGATACTCTATATTTTATTTCTTTTATATTATTATTATTTTTAATTTCTTTATTTAGTTTCTTTTAGGTATATATATGTTTTTTTTTAATTCCTTTTATATTATTTTGTTATTTTATTAATTTATTCTTTTTAATTTTTTTGTTTAGTTCTTTATATGTTTCTTTTTATTATTTTTTTAATTTCTTTTATATTATTTTGTTATTTTATTATTTTTAATTTGTTTATTTAGTATATATATATATATATATATATATGTTTCTTTTTATTATGGGGTATAATTTCTTTTATATTATTTTAATTTAGTTATTTAGTTTCTTTTATATACCTCTATTTTAAAAATACTTTAATATTTTATACTATTTTAAAACCCATTCGAATAACTAACATACATTTTTTATTATTTTTAAATAACTATCACACTTTTATATTATTTAATTTAAGAATATGATTTTGGATAAGTTTATTAATTAGAATTTATACGTATATTGAAACAAATGTCTATAACGTTAAATGTTCATAAATATATATACGTTTATAAAATATATATATATATAAATAATTTTAAAGTACATTTTAAATTCCAATGGGTTTATTATCTATTAATTTTAAAATATATTTTAAATTCTAATGTATTTATTATTATTTGTTGCAACATTATTGTATCCAAATTTATATATATTTTTATTTTTCTAATAGTTTAGGATTCTTTAAAATCACGTATAACTAAACATATTTAATTAAACTAATTTATTGTTTATTTAATTTCAGACCTATCTTTCATTTTTGTTACTCTAACCAAGGCCCATGATCCAATAACTCCAGTCCACCAACTACCCAAATAGTTGCCCAAGCCCAGGCACACCTTCTATTTTCATGTAGCTGGTCGTAGTCATCTAACTTTCAATCCACTTGGTTCAATTGTTTCAATTTTGGTTTAGTCAATTTAAGCTTTTCATGTCCAATTCAAATCTATTTTAAGTCGGTTGATTCATTTAAGTTTAGGATATTTTAGATCAAAGTAAGTTTGATCCAAGACTTTTAAAAATTAGGTTAGATGAATTGTTTGACGCATAACTCTACTGATTAAAATTATTTCGTTTATTATATATGATTTATTTGATATGTGTATTTTCATTTATGATATGATGTAACTTTATATGATTAATATATGTTTATATCAAACACCCTGAACTAAAGATGTTGTACAAAGTATGATAGAAAGACTTTGAGTACGAACACAAATCATCTGAGACGTTGTATGATCATGGAGTCATGAATTACTTCTCCAGTCATGTACTGTACGATTATTCAAATTCCTTTCTTTTCTATCGGTTTCAAATGAGTGAGTATGCGCTAGTCTATAGACAAGTCTAAGGAATATGCTAACGAGCTCACTCAGTAGGTCCAGGTGTATGTGTGTGGACCGTGTGTCAAAGACATTTATTTATTTATTTATTTATTTTGACTAAGTTGATAAACTAAAAGTTAAAAATTTATCATTGATTGAAAAGTCATAGGAAGCTAAAAAAACAGTTTGACTTTTAAATCAAATATATATATATGAGTAAGAACTAAAAAATGTATTGACTTTTGTCCAGATATTTTAAAATAAAAAAAATATTGGTGGTAAAATAAAATAAAAATCAAAATATGAAAATTTAATAACATAATAAAAACCATTAGAGTAAAACAAATAAAATAAAAACTTATCCTAAAAAAGAAAAGAAAATGTGGAGAAGGATTATATTAACAGGCAAACTTAATTCCATTTTTAATTTTAATCATTTTCTAACTTGCGTTTTCATTGGATATTATTTATAGAGGGAAAAGGGGTTGAATCCATAAGTCAGACTCCTAATTTCATTTTATTTATTAATTAATCTTATTATTTATCTTTAATCAAATTTAAAATTAAATCGTGACAAATTTAAGAACCAAATAAAGGTTAAATTAATAAAAATACTTCTAGAGTTTAAATAGTAATTTTAAATTTATAAAAAGTTCAAAAATATCCTTACATTAGTATTTTATTTCAAAAATAACCATGGTTCAAAAATATCATTCATTAATATTATTCAACTTTTTTAAAATGTTAAAAAATACTCTTATAATTAGTACTATATTTTAAAAATAATAATTAAATTTTATAAGTAGCATTAACACTCTCCACCTTTATAAGAAAATTAAATTTTTTTTATCTATGTCACATCTCATAAATTATCTCCAAACTTTAAAAAATTTAGGGGTATTTTTGAAACATCTTTAAAAAGTTAATGATTTTTTTTTTTTTTTTTTTTTTTTTAAGTTTAAGGGTATTTTTTAAAATAAAAATTAACTATTTTTATCCAAAAACTAACATTTTTTTTTAATTTAATAGTATTTTTTGAGATTTTCTTAAAAAATGAAAGAATAACTTATTTTTTTCAAACAAAATACAAAATTTGTGTGGAGACATAAAAAGTTAGGTTTCTAATCTCAACAAATTTCTTTATACAAAATTAGATCAAAATTTGTTTGAATGGATGGGATGAGAGAGAAATGGAGAGAGATATGGGAATATGGCCAGATGTAAGGAAAAGCGAGATTGAGGAAAAGAGAGGAGGGAAAGTCAAAGATACAGTGCAGAGTAGTTCATCCCTGCATGTAACGGTGGTTCAAAAAGAAACAGAAAATTTGGAGATTAGAAAAAGAAAAAGAAAGGAGATGAAAACGAGGACCGCGAGGGTAGGGTACTCTCCCCCTTCCTTTACCCCTTTGTCTTATGTCCTCTTACGGTTATGGCGATCATCACAAAAAGTTGCATAATATATGGTGCCTCACTGTCACCTCACTGTCACAGTAGGATACTCACCATGTATCCTCCATTGAAAATCAAACTCACCCAAGTTTTTTTTGTCACTGCCCTCAACGTGTTTGATGAATGTCCCCCTCCATGTTTTTACTCTGATAGTGCAAGGTGTTGCACATTCAACCCCATCTTTTTCCCTCCTCCTTGTTTCAATCCCTTTTAGAAGCTATCAAAGGTAAGATCTTACTTTTCTTTTAATGCCTTTCCATTTCTTTCTTTTTTTCATTCCCTCTTTGTTTCTTGTAAAATACTCAATTTTGTAAAATTTGTATATAAATTTCAATTCCAACTAAGACTCTTTAGCTATGGGCTACTCTCATCCATTTAGCATTTGCCAGCTTCTTCTCTTGCTTTTGCCTTGTTAACAGCACCCTCCTTGACTCTCTCTCTTCTTCATCCTCTTCATCTTCTTCACCTCCTTCATCTCCTTCTTAGGCCTCTTGCATGTTGAGAATTTAGCTGTCTCTTCTCCTTTTAGCCTTTTGGGGTGGTTTATCTCTCTTCGCTCTCTCAGTTTCTCTCAATCTCCCTCCTTTCCCTCTCTGGGAATTTAATCTCTCTTCTTCCAGACTCTTCTCCGGTAAATGCAGAAAATGGGTCATTGGGTCCCTGATTCTCTTCCTAGCTTTGCCAAAAATCTTCATATCTTGGTGGTGGATCATGAAACCTTATCTCTCAACCACTTGAGTTCCTTGCTTAGGGAGCAGTCTTACCATGGTACATAGCATCACAATATTTCCATTAATCTCTTTCACCATCCTAATTTAATTTAATGGTCTAAAGCTAATTTTATGCTTCTGTTTGTATCGGATAACATCCTAATTTTAATTTTGTCAGTAATGATCTAAAGCTAAATTTTATGCCAATTGTTTGTATCTGATAACATGTAAAGTTTATTTCTCAAACAGAAGAAAAAAAATTGGGAAATGTTAACTTGATTTTTTAATTATTTTATTGATTTTTTATTCATTTGAAAGGAAGTTCATGAGTGATTGTTTTTATTAATACTATATTTCCATATAAAGATATTTGATGAGTTGCTCAATTTCTTCTTTTTCTGGGAATTAAATTCAAAGCATAAAAGTATAAGATAGGAATGTCTTCCTTGTTTAAGTTTCTACTCGACCAATTTTGTGTATGTTGGTTCATTTATGGGACTAATTACATGAGTATCTTCAACTTTAAGTTTTTGTTTTTCCTTTTCTATGAACGAAACGTGCATGACTTGATTTTTTTTTTTTTTTTTAATTTTCAGTTACGACCACTGTATTGGGATCTATTGCTCTATCAATGATTCAAGAAAAAAGTGATGAGTTCGACCTTGTCATGGCTAACGTTAGCATGCCCGACATGGACAGTTTTTCATTCTTGCACGTGCTCCTTAAGATGAAAATTGTTGTCATTTGTAAGCTCAATTTTTCTCTACAAATCTCATTCAATTAAATGTCTTCATTATTCTCAAGCTATTTTGTTGTTGGGCAGTTATGTCATCAGTGATGAACTTGGACGTGGCTACGAAAGCATTGGCTGAAGGAGCGTGTTATTTTCTTCAGAAACCTATTTCCAAGGATGATCTCAAATATGTATGGCAACACGTGTATCGAAGGAACAGAAACATATCAAAGCTAAACCATGAAGCAAATTGCGTAGAAAAAGCCAAATATGGAAAAGAATCTGTCGGCATCCAAAACGACGACACTGTTGTTTTGTCTCAGCCCACCGATGAAGTTAGTATTAATAATAACGGTAGTATTAACTATCAACTTATGAGCTATAAAGAAGAAGGGCAGAATCAACCAACTAATTCCCATGATACCCTAGTTGCTTCATACTTCGAAGGAAAGAGATTAATGGATGACATAGAAGGAACAAGCAAGGAGAAGAGAGTTATATATTACTCAACGCCTACCAATTTTGGAGATACAAGAATTGATGAGGATAATAGAAGAATGAAGGAATATTATATTTCTAGTGATAACAGATCACGTGTCGTTTGGAATGTGGAACGACGTCGCAAATTCTCCGACGCTCTCAACAAGCTAGGAGATAAATGTAATTTCGCCTCTCTTTCCAGAGTTATTTTTATTTTTTTAGTATTTAAATTCAATAATGCATTTTTAATTGTTTTACTTACATTTTCTTCTTGTTTTGAAGGTCGTCCAAAACTTATACTGAAATTGATGAATGAACCATCCTTGACACTGCGCCAGGTAGCTAACCACCTGCAGGTATTGTTCATTCTTGTTCGCATAAAATAGAATTTGGTATTAGATTTGTTCTAACCATGCATTATCCTATCAGAAATACAAAGCACAAGTAGAGTCCATGAAAAAGGGGAGAGAAAATAAATTAGCTCCAAGGAGGGAAGCTTCCAAATTCAATTTCTCAGTCAGGACTCAACTTCCTCTTCCGTTGGTACCAAAGCACCCTCACGATGAGGCAAACAGCTCTACAAAGGGAAGTTTAACCTCTTTTATAGGAGGGGAAAGATTCCGACTTATTGCTCCTAAACCTGTGCCTAGTCCTAAACTGCCTGTTAGCGCCAACTTTGCAAATCATGGTCTCATAATGCTTGGCCAAAATTTTCAACCTGTTGATTCAAACTACAATTCAGTTCCATATATCATCAATCAGACAACTCCAAAGGTAACTTCTTCTTGTGTATTTGATGAAACTCAGTTCTCAGATAATCATCTTGATGTAGTACAGCAAGATTTGACTACTTTCAAGATTGAAAACCAAGAAGCAATGGGATGTAATGGCACTTCAGAAGGGATTCAGTTGATGTCAAACAACATGGCTTTTCCTGATTCAACCAACTTGGACAATATTGCTGCAAATTTTGGAAATGAAGGAAGCCAACAACAATCAGCCGAATTTGATTATCTCTTAAATTTTTTAGAAGATGATCCACACGAGTTTGACAGTGACTTAAATCTGAGTGACGTAGATAAGTACAGCGAGTGGCTAAAGAACACTGTTCTTGAAAATAGAAGCGGTCCAGACAGCTTTCTTGGTGACAGTGCAGAAAACTTTTCAACTGAAAACACCCAATAAATAGGTATGTTTTATTTCTCTAATGTTCTCGAGGTGTTTAGAAATGTACATGACTGAAAACTCGCCTAAAACTCTACATATTTTGCAATGTTAATTATGTTGTAACTTATGCATCTCTTCTTTTGAATCGTATTTAGCTATGAGATCTTGGTTGAATGGATACCATAGGATGATGAGGGCTATCATGTTTATGCTAAAATTGACATGGCTTCAACTCTTTGGAAATGCATGTCGTTCTAGTCAACAAACCATGATTTCAAATCTTCAAATAATAATACTTAATTTTTTAAACTCGATTTGATGTTAGAAAGACAATAAAAAAGAATACATTATAAGTTTAAATCATATCGATTTCAAAAATCAGTAGTCAAGTTCTTGGAAGCAGCAAGTTTGTTATAGATTTTCAAGACGAACTTTGCATCAACATGTTCACCATCACAAGTAGCAAGAGAAACTTGATTACGAGGTTTTGGTATCCTCTTCCCATTGCCAAAAGCTCCAATGGCATATATATTCCCTGCACTATTTGCTACCCTCATCATCATCTCAACATACGCGTCGTGAAACTTTGCCAAAAGTTTCAACGGTGATGCCATTTTCAACTGCACCTTTGAAAATTGTCGTCTCATACGCAATAGTTGCCAAATCTTGAAACTCCTTAAACTTGTAGGGCGAGTATCACTTCCTAGCTTTTGGTATCTTCTTCTTCTCCATAGCCTCCTCATGCCTTGAGCTGATGGGGTTGCAATGATATCCATCTGGGGTTCTTCTTATGAGTGGGTATAAGGGGGAAAGAGGAAGAGTTTATATAGAGGTTATTATTGTCAAAAACTAGGGGGGTTTGAAGAAAGACTTGGTCTTTGAGATTAAAAGCTTTTTTTAAAAAAAATTGGATGAGTTTTGGCGAAAAAATTATTTGATAATTATATATATAATTATTGGATCATTAAATTGTGGGGTCTCTTCTAATTAATTTTTCATTTCATAAATTATTTTCCTTTTTTCTTTTCTTATAATTATTTGGTAGTTGTAACTTGCTTCTTGTTTTAAAAAAGTTGTAAATTTTGGAATATTCAAAACTTGTTTTTTTTTTTTTTTTTTTTTTTTTTTTTTTTTTTTTTTTTTTTTTTTTTTTTTTTTTTTTTTTTTTTTTTTTTTTTTTTTTTTTTTTTTTTTTTTTTTTTTTTTTTGTTTGTTTGTTTCTTATTATTGACCATTCCATTTTTTATATAAAGACATGCACAATAAATATGTTAAAACAAATATAAACAATAATTTAAGTTATTTTATTCAACTTATTTTTTTTTTTAAAGAAAAAGGGAATTATAAATATTATATATATATATATATATGGAAAAGAGGAAAAAAAAAAAGACAAAAAATAAGAAATAGAAACATTTCTAAAACAAATATTAAAATGGTTGCCTGCAAAATTAGAAAAAAAAAATGGTGGAGTTTTTGATGGGATGTGTTAGGAGACTTGGTCAATTAATTGTAAAGGGGGAGTGAATGGTCAAGTTTACAAGTGATCCATGCAACTCAGAATAGAGAGTTTATAACTCAATCTCGGTTAGATTGTCAAGTTATTTTTTTTTTAATTATTTAAAAAAATCATACTTAATTCACTCGGTTACATTGATAATTGGATCATTCTTTTTTGTAACTTGAATTGGATAATCTGGTCCGATTATCAAGTTCGTTCAATGTTAAAAAGGAAAAAAAGAATTAATTTACATAATTAAATTAAAGTGTTTACAACAAGTTAAGGTATTAAAAAAAATAGAGAGATATGGACAGCAAATAAAATTAAAATTATTAGCTAAATTCACATAATTCTTATAAAGGTTATGATCCAAACATATATTATTAGGAATTCCGAAGAGTCCGAAAACATTAAATATTAATTATATATTTAAATAAATTTAGTAGGCTTTGACCCGCTCCCATCTTATTGTTATCGAAATAAATATATATTAAAATTTAAGGTTGTCAAATGCTTAATAAGAATTATTCATTAAAGGAACCAGCACAAAAAAAATTAATTTTAGTTCTTTTTCTTTTTTATAACTATTTGGCAAAAAATAAAAAAAAAATTAAGTTTCTAAAATAATACTTGGGGCTTTATAGGAACCAACATAACTCGTTCAATGGTCTCCTTATGTTACTGCTATATTATTATGTTATCAAGTTATCGCTTCATAACACTCAAATAGTGCAATTGTGAGGTTGATATTAGAGTTGAGTTGGTTCCTAGAAGTGGAATCAATAAGCATGTGCACGACTAAGCAATTTGATAAGTCCAATGTTGACAGATGGGACGAGATTGAAAAATGTATGCTTTATTTGTTGAGATAAAATTGTCACCAAAACTGATTAATTAATATTTTTAATTACTAATAATTTTGAAGTATGTTGTGAAGTTTAAAATAGCAATGACAAAACAAAGAATTTATAGATGGACATCACGGATCAATCAAATCGTGACATGTGGAGTCTTAAAAGAGTGACAATTGATGGCTACTTCTCGTAGGTAGCTAAGGAGATAGTTTAGGTCAAATGAAGCTTGACAGTAAAATTGAATTGAGGAGTTAAGCTATTTAGGAATAATTATTTAAGATGAATGAATATATTAAGTATGATGGAAGTGGGATCACATCAACTATCTTTAATCAAACAACTTGTTCATATCTCGAACAAACACAAATGAAACTAATTTAAAAAGTTTTTCGAGTCATATTGAAGTTGAGTTTTGGAGGTCTAAAATGATGAACTTTTATTGGAATGTGAGGAAAGTGTTAGACGAACACGACTCTTCACAATGGTATGATATTGTTCACTTTGAACATAAACTCTCATAGCTTTGCTTTAGGGTTTCCCAAAAGGCCTCAAACCAATGGAGAGTGTATTCTTAGATTATAAACTCATGATCATTCTCTAAATTAACCAATGGGGGACACTTTCATCTAACAGAAAGATGGTTATTTTGTGTGAAAGTAGAAAATTGTTAACATTGTGCTTCTTGTCAAAATCACGATGTCGTACAGTTGAAAAAGTAGGACCGTGACACTCCTCGTCCACATCGGAGTTGATTTCATCCCATGAAATCTCTAAACTATCATGTGTCCATATCAAAATCGAATATCGTTTTTGTGGGTGTGTTAAAAAATTGTGCATCCATTAAAACTTTCAAATTTTGAGTTTATGTTTTTATCTGAGTTAAGACACTTGATGTCCGTTCCCGTGGGTGTCTATTCCATTTTCCCTTTCTTATTTTAATTCCATTTTCATAAAAATTTTAGAACTTATTTCAATATTAATAATAATATTATATATATAATATTAGAAAAAGAATTTTCTACTCATTTTAGGATAGGCATTCAATTGGTTGGTTGGGTAAAAAAGTAACGGTCCTTTATTTTACTAATTGAAAAAAGAAAATAAAAAAGAAAAGAAAAGGATTACGTAGGTCGGTGACGACGCTCCAGCTCCTCGCGCAATCGCCTCCGGCGATGCCGACAGTGCAATCCGACATTCGCTGTGCTTATCACATCGCCTCCTCCACCTTCCGCTCCCTCTCCCCTAGTTTTAGGCCCCGCCGAACCGCTGCCTTTCCATGTAAACTGCTCTTCCCCTCCTTCAAATTGAGAGCCTTCTCCACATGTGCTGCCGTGAGAGTTCCCGAGAAGCCGTCGATTTGTACGGCCGACGAGCTTCATTATGCCTCTGTACCGAATTCTGACTGGAGGCTTGCTCTCTGGCGCTATCGTCCCTCCCCTCAGGTGATCTTTAATTCCGTTTTGATTATGTACTCTTCGAGATTCGAGATGAGAACAATTTTTTTTTTTTTTTTTTTTTAATTTGTGGATTTGCGATGTGAATAAGTACGCCGCTTAGTTTTGAATTGCTTTTCTGTCCTTTACGCGATTGAACAGGCGCCTCCGAGGAATCATCCGCTTTTGCTATTATCCGGAGTCGGAACTAATGCTATTGGTTATGATCTTGCCCCTGGGGTAAATTTTCTTCCGCTTAGGATTGTAGCTGTACTTTGAAGTTTATTGAGAAGTGGTTTTTATTTTTATGGCCTTTTATGATTTGTAAATGCTCTAGGTTGCTATGACATTAATGTAGATTACTTATTATTCTTATTATTATTATTTGTTTTTGAGGAACATTTGACATAGATTACTGTATAATCATGTTCTCTCTGGTCCTTTGTCTGTCTATTTTCTTTCCTTGAGCCACAATGGTCATATTCCCATGCTATGAAAAGTTGCCTAGTCGTATTTTTCTTTATTCATCAGATTGTCTGTTCTAACGTATTCAAAGATGACATCATTCACTAAGAACTAATCTTCTAAGCTTCATTGGATTGAACAACCCATATATTCCTTTCTTTTATGTGCTATTCCTGCAGTGTTCTTTTGCGCGGCATATGTCTGGTCAGGGGTATGATACATGGATTCTTGAAGTTCGAGGTGCAGGACTGAGCTTGCAGGAACCAAATGTGAAAGAAATTGAGCATTCAGCTAAAGTTAAATCAGAAAAAATGGAAGCAATCTCTGAGAGCAAAATTAATGGAACTGTACATGTGGAAGAAGAGTCAACAAAAATTCTTGAAGATCTCTCAAAATCAGATACTTGCATCAATGGGAAAGAATCTGACTTTTCTATGGTTGAGGAAGAAGACTTCATAGGAATAGCAACAATTTGGGATGAGTCAAGTGTAGTTTCGGAGTTAACAGAAACTTTTATGCGTTTGTCAGAACGGCTATCTGGCTTTTTAAGTGAAGGCCAATCAAGGATTATGTCCGCCAAACTATTTGATCAAATTTCAAAACTTTTAGTTGATTCCCAATTATCTGAACGTTTTAATGAGGTAAGGGAAAAGCTTTCATATTTGTTGGAAACAGGACAGACCTCAGTCATTGCTGGCCAGATTAGGGATTTGAGTCAAAGGCTTGTAGAAATTATTGAAGAAGGTCAACGATCTGTTTCACCTCCATTATTCAATTTGCAAGATCGATTTTCTTCAACGATTGACGATTTTCAGAAACAACTTGATTTAATAGTAAAATATGACTGGGACTTTGATCATTATCTGTTGGAG